ATATATATATTTTATGTATATATCTATATATTTTTTAATTTTTACTTTTTGTATTTCAGAGAGAGAGAGAGAGAGAGAGAGCACCTGAGTGGGGGAGAGGGACAGAAGGAGAGAGAGAATCCTAAGCAGGCTCCACACTCAGCATGGAGCCTAACGGGGGGCTTGATCCCATGACCCTGGGATCATGACCTGAGCCAAAAACAAGAGTTGGACCCTCAGCCAAATGAGTCATCCAGGTTCCCCAGGAAAGATTGAGAACATATTTTTGAGCTACTACTATTTGCCAGGCATTTTGCTAAGTACTAGGATTAGATAGAGCAAGGATGTTAAAAAGGAAAAGAAATTTAACTAGGTAGAGTCTATCATAAGGAAACTAAAAATCCAGGTGCAGAGAAATAGAAACCATTATGGCACAATATGAGAAGTCCTATGAGAAGTATTATGAGAAAAGAGCTATCCAATTACAGAGGTAGGAATGACCAATTCTGTGCTTCAATGAACTTGACATTTGAATCAGATCTTAAGTGATGAGTAGAATTGTATCAAGTGTAGAAACCAGAAAAAGATATTCCAGGTTCCAAGCAGGGAAAAGTGTAAGTGAAGACAGAGCCAAAACTACATGGGATACCTGGGGCCTGGCAAATAGTTCTGGGGGCTAGAGCATAGAGTGATGGGTGGAGTTCTAGAAGGTAAAGTGGGAAGGAGGTGGTGTACTTTGTTGAAGACCTAGAAAGTTAGGTCCTTGCTGTAGAGGTAAACCTCAGATGCACAACCTCAGATACAGAGGACATAACAAGGAGAGTGCTATGTCAAACTCTGTAATTTGAAAATACTAGGTTAAATGGATGATTTTCTAAGAAAATAGAAAGTACCAAAATCTCCTTTAAAATAGGTAGGAGAACATAAGTAGGTAAAGAATAATGAAAGGCATAGAGAAAGCTGTTAAGAAATTAGGATCTAAAATGCCATTGGGATTATGTAGGTTATGAAAATCTTCCAGAACACAGGGAAAGAAGGAACATGTTCTTACTCATGCTATTAGATTGGAATAGCCTGTTAAGAACAGTCAAGATAAAAGCCCAAATGTAAGATGTTAGGAGTTTTAAAAAGAGAACTTTTAGTTTCTCAGTGGAGCCAGCACTGTGCTCCGTGTGCTATGTCTTTTGAACACACCATCTCATTTAAGCCTCACAAGGCCCTCAGTGACTGCATATTCTGTGATTACTGGGGGAAACTGAGGCTTTAGTGAAGACTGGCTGGGCTCATTTCATCTGAGCATACAGCCTTTATTCCTCATGTTGTATTTTTGTGGTGGTTCTTTTTTCTTGGTCAGATTTGTCGGCAATTGGTCTACTTTATTATTCTTTTCAAAGACTCAGTCCGTAGGTTTATTTATTAATCCTAATAGATTTTTTTCTTCTTTATTTGCATTTTGTTTGTTCTCTAATTCATCAGTCAGTTCTGATACCTAAGTCCCAGCTTTTATCAACATTCCTAGACTGCCTACTTATTTGAAAAGAATAATTTGCCACTATCAGGTAGAGTTTACTCCAGAAACACAAGGATAGTTCAATATCAGGAAAGCTGGTATTGTAATGAATTGTATTCATTCGTTAGAGGGAAAATGCTCTATGATCATCCTGATAGTTACTCAAAACCATTTGATTTAATCCAACATCTACTTTTCCTTACAAATAAAGAAACAAAAGCTCTTTGTAAATGAGATCTAGAAAGTGACTTTCTTCACACAATAGAGTATCTATAAAAAGTCACTAGCAATGTCAATTCCTTGGTGAAAAAAAAAACATTCCTACTATAGTCATGACCAGATAAAATGCCTGGCATCTTCATAGTAATTCAACCTTATTTTAGAAATTTTAGCCTATGCCATAAACAATATAAAGAAGTAAATACAAATATTGGAAAGGAAGCAAACCTTTATTTTCAGTTATAACTACCTGGAAAGTTTCTGAAAAGATACTTGTTGAGTGTCTATCATGTGCTAAGCTCCCTCTTGCAAAACTTACAGTGTATTGGGGAAGACATTCAACTAAATGCAATTCCAATTGCATTAAATTAATTAAATGCAATTAATTATTAAATTTTGAAAGTAATATTACATTTAAATTATTAAATAATTAATTAAATTCCAATGAAATGCAATTCTAGTATAGTGTTATAAATTCCATGATGGAGAAAACAAAGTGCTATGGGAACTACCATTTAGTTGGGGCTTTCTTAACTTTGGAAGATTGGGGAAATTTTTCTGTTCTTCAAATTTGCCAAGTTCATTATTGCTTTTCACTGGTACCATTTCCTCTGTCTGGAAACTATTGTCCTTGAACTTTTATGGCTGACTTCTTGGAATCCCCCAGGTCTCAGCCCAGGAGTCTCCTTTTCAGAGAGGTCCACCTTATCTAAAGCAGCCCCTCACCTCTACCAGTCACTCCTTCACATCACTTTTTTTTTTTTTTTTTAAATTCACAACAAGGTCACTCTCTGTAGTGGTCTCATCTATTTGTTACTTGTTTGTTGTCTTTTTCTACTCCCATCACTTAGAATGTAGGAACAGCACAAGAGTTTAGGAACCTTGTTGGTCTTGCTCACTGTTGTATCCTGAGTGGAGAACTGTGTCTTCACCTAGTAGGTGCTCACTAAATATTTGCTAGGTGAATGTTCTGGAAGACAGGAGGTGGAGATAGAGATGCCAGTTGGCAAAGAGGGCAGGGCCTGGGCTGGGTTGGACTGAATGTTTGTGTCCCCTTGACCCCCACCAAATTCATATGTGGAAGCCAAATCCCCAATGTGATGGTATTAGAAGGTAGGGCAGTAACCTTTGGGAAGTAATTAGGTCATGAGAGTAGAATGCTATACCCTTATAGGAAGAGACACGAGAGAGCTTGCTTCCTCTTCCTCTACTCTTCACCATGTAAGGATACAACAAAAAGATAGCTATCAGAAAAGTGGGCTAGACTCACCAGACAGCAGATCAACTAGCATCTTGATTTTGGACTTCCTAGCCTCCAGAACTGTGAGAAATGAATGTTTGTTGTTGAAGCCACCCAGTCTGTGGTATATTTGTTATAGCAGCCTGAGCTGGCTAATAACACAGAATATATGGCATTGATGAGGATAGTTTTTTTTTTTTTTAACAGCTCTGTTGAGATATAATTAACATATAATATTGTATAAGTTTAAGATATACAAAATGATGTTACATGTTAGTTAACACATATAAGGCTAATTAACACATTCATCACCTCACATAGTTACCATTTTTTTTGTGTGTGGTGAGAACTTTTAAGTTCTATCTTAGCAACTTTCAAATATACAACATAGTACTGTAAACTATAGTCATCATGCTGTACATTACATCCCTGGAACTTATTTTAAAACTGGAAATTTGTGCCCTCTTACCACCTTTGCCCTCTCAACCACTCCCCTCACCCTGTAACTACCAGTTTGCTCTCTGTTGCTATGAGGATTGTTTGTTTGTTTGTTTTAGAGTCTCCATGTAAGTGAGATTATACATACTTCGTCTCTCTCTGTCTGACTTATTTTACTTGGCATAATGCCCTTAAGGTCCATTTATATTGTTTTAAGTGGCAGAATTTCCTTTTTTAAATGGCTGACTAATGTTCTGTTGTGAGATATATAGATATTTTCCAAAGTCCATTGATAGACATGTAGGTTGTTTCCATATTTTGGCTATTGTAAATAATACTACAATAAACATGGAAGTGCAGATATCTCTTTGAGATAGTGATCTCCTTTCCTTCAGATATATACCCAGAAGTGAAATTGCTGGATCATACAATAGTCCTATTTTTATTTTTTTTTGAAGAGCCTTCATATTGTTTTTCATAGTCACTGTACCAGTTTGCATTCCTACTCACAGTGTGTTAGGGTTCCTTTTTCTTCACATCCTCATCAACACTTGTTATAGCTTGTCTTTTTGATGACAGCCATTCTAACAGGTGCAAGGTGATATCTCATGGTGGTTTTCATTTTCATTTCCCTGATGATAGTGATGTTGAACACCTTTTCATATACCTGTTGGCCATTTGTATATATTCTTTGGAAAGATGTCACTGGCTGTTTTTAATCGAGTTATTCCCTCATTCATTCATTTATTCATTCATGCATGCATGCTATTATGTGAGTTCTTTATATATTTTGGATATTAACTCCTTATCAGATATGTAGTTTGCAAATATTTTCTCTCATTCCATAGGTAGGTTTTCATTTTGTTGATGGTCTCCTTTGCTGTGTAGAAGCTTTTTAGTTTGATCTAGTCCCATTTGTTTATTTTTGCTTCTGTTGCTTCTGCTTTTGGTGTCATATCCAGAAAAATCATTGCCAAGACCAATGTCAAGGAGCTTTTTCCCTGTGTTTTCCTCTAGGATTTTTATGGTTTCAGGTCTCACATTTAGTCTTTAGTCCATTTCAAGTTAATTTTTGTGAATAGTATAAGATGGGGTCCAGTTTCATTCTTTTGAGCGTGTTGTTTTGGTGCCATGTGTTTGTGAGTTTTCCAGCTTTTCTCTTCTACTCATTTTTAGTTTCATACCATTGTGGTCAGAAAAGATACTTTATATAATCTTTTTTTGTCTTCTTGAAAATGTTGAGACTTGTTTGGGGACTTAACATATGATCTATCCTAGAAAATGTCCCATGTACGTTTGGGAAGAATGTGTATTCTGCTATTATTGGGTGGAATGTTCTGTATGTGTCTGTTAGATACATTTGGTCTGTAGTGCTGTTTAAATCTGCAGTTTCCTTATTGATTCTCTGTCTGGATGATTTATCCATTGTTGAGAGTGGGGTATTAAAGCTCCCACTATTGTTGTGTTGCTGTTTATTTCTCCTTTTACTTCTCTTAGTATTTTGCTTCTTATAATTAGGTGCTCTAATGTTGTGTATATAAATATTTATAATTGTTATCTTTTCTTGATGGGTTGACCCCTTTATAATTATATAATGATCTTCTTTGTCTCTTTTGATCATTTTAGATTAAAGTCTATTTTGTCTATATAAGTATAACTATCACTGCTTTTTTTGGATACCATTTGTTTGAAATATCTTATTCCATCCCTTTGCTCTCAGTCTATGTCCTTAAAGTGAGTCTCTTGTAGGCAGCATATCATTGGGTGTGTTTTTTTAATCCATTCAGCCATTCTGTATCTTTTGATTGGAGAATTTGCTCCCTTTGCATTTAAAGTAATTATTGATGGGTAAGGAATTATCACTGCCATTTTACTAACTGTTTTCTGTTTTGTAGATCCTTTGTTCCTTGCTTCTTCTCTTGCTATGTTTTGTGTGTGTGTCTGTGTGTTTTGATGACTTTTTGTGGCTGTATGCTTTGATTCCTTTATTATATTCTTTTGTGTATTTACTATAGGTTTTTCCTTTGTGGTTACCATGAGGCTTACATAAAATATAGCATCCTATTTTAATCTTATAACAAGTTAACTTCAATGGTTTCTGGTCTGCAGAAACATTATACTTCTAAATTTTTTTTTTTCAACGTTTATTTATTTTTGGGACAGAGAGAGACAGAGCATGAACGGGGGAGGGGCAGAGAGAGAGGGAGACACAGAATCAGAAACAGGCTCCAGGCTCTGAGCCATCAGCCCAGAGCCCGACGCGGGGCTCGAACTCACGGACCGGGAGATCGTGACCTGGCTGAAGTCGGACGCTTAACCGACTGCGCCACCCAGGCACCCCGAAACATTATACTTTTATTTCTCCCCGCCTCCCCCCCACTCCCACATTTTAGGTTATTGGTGTTACCATTTACATCTCTTTTATATTGTGTATCCAATAACAAATTATTGTAGTTGTGGTTATTTTTAATATGGTTGGCTTTTAACTTTTAAACTGAGCTGTAAGTAAATTACGTACCAGCATTACAATATTAGCGAATCTGACTTTGACTATGTATTTACCTTTACCAGTAAATTATACACATTCCTATGTTTTTAAGATGTTAATTAGCATATTTTATTTCCATACAAAGAATGCTTTTTAGCATTTCCTGAAAGGCTGATCTGGTAGTGATGAGCTACCTTAGCTTTTGTTGGTTTGGGAAAGTATCTCTTCTTCATTTCTGAAGAACTGCTTTTCTGGGATAGTATTTTTGGATGATAGGTTTTTTTCTTTCAGTATTTTGAATGTATCATTCTACTGTCTTCTGGCCTGCAAAGATTTTATTGAGAAATCTGCTTATAGTCTTATTGGGGCTCCCTAATATGACAAATCACTTTTTCTTGCTGCTTTCAACATTCTCTCTTTGTTTTTGACTTTTGAAAATTTAATTATGTGTCTAATTGTAGCCCTTTTTGGTTCAATAAATTTGGAATCCTTTGGGCTGCATGAACCTGCATCTCCATTTTGCATCCCAAGTTTGGGAAGTTTTCAGCCATTATTGTTCTGTCCCTTTCTCTCCCTTTTTGCCTTCTGGATTCTTATAATGTGTATATTGTTTCTTTTGGTAGTATCTCCAAATCTTATAAGGTTTCTTCATTCTTTTTCATTCCTTTTTGTTTTTGCTTCTCTGCTGGATCATTTCAAATGACCTACCTTCCAGTTCAGTAATTCTTTTTCTACCTGGTCGAGTCTGATATTGAAGCTTTCCATTGAATTCTTTTGTTCTGTCATTGTATTATTCAGGACTAGGATTTTCTTTCTTTCTTTCTTTCTTTCTTTCTTTCTTTCTTTCTTTCTTTCTTTC